TTCGATTTAATCTGAAAAAGTTTGGATTTGAACCACTAATGGCTGATGAGTGGTTAGAACAGATGAGTAAGACGTTCGAGATGCTTGGCATCGAGGACGGAGCACTGAAAGTGACCTTGGCATCCTTCCAGCTGAAGGGAGATGCGGGTCAATGGTGGAAGTACGAGAAAGCTCGTGTTGGTGGTACTTGGGAGGCGTTTGTGAATGCTTTTCAGGAGAGGTTTTTATCAGCAGCAGCTAGGAACTCTGTAATCACCATACAAAAGTCATTAAAACGGACAAAACTATGTTCCGCCACCTAGCCTCGGTTCTGACGCCAGCTATGTCCTTGGAAGGTGGCTGCTTCCTAGCAACCTTGAGAAAACTAGATCATTCCCCCCATTTTTCATAGGGTGAAACCACAGGTTCCAAGAGTAGAAGTACACTCAACCAACCAACATGGACTCAAATGAGCTCGCTAAAACATTAGCAATTGATAGTTGAGTCAAACTGATACACAATCACATAAATAACTATTTTATGTCACGGACTTTACAAGTCCCAATTTACTTTTCATTTTCCCTTTTCAACAGATTAAGAAAATTAATCATGTTCATAGCGTATAACACTCCAAATAATCACAAACATTCTCAACCAGATATGTAAACCCAACATATTCCACCAAGATAGCTATCAAAGTATCTCATACACTCCTCACAAGGATATTGTATACTACCAGATTCCAGATAATCCACATGCTATCCCACATCTCAAGCAATATGTATAGCCATATATCTACACCTATCAATGGATCAAGTCATATGAGTCCTATCTTCCTTCTCTAGACAGATTGAGCTGTCTACTGCACATGTTCTCCCTCTCCATCCAACCTATCCGGTTTAGAACGGTACATCCCCTAATCTTCTCCTCTAAACCCCGGAGTACATCCCCTATCTCCCTCCTTACACATAACGTATACAAAACACATGGTTCATATGTTACAATCCATACAATAATACAAATAATGTATTCTATCAACGTCAGTTCCATGACAATTTCATTGATTAGTTTCAGTTTACCCTATCATCCATGCATTGTTCTACCACAATCACGACTATCCTCACACGATAGCCCACAGCAGTTATTTCTAAAACAGAAATAAAATGCACAAATGTGATATTTAATCAACATATTCATTTCCTCATTTCTCACATTAATTATCCCATATAATTAAACAATGTAATTAGGCCAGTATCCCCTAATTACCATTTTCAACCCTTAGGTCCCATTCTTCATCAATGATTTAACATTCATTCAATTCTCTATGCCAAACATGCATTCAAGGTTATTATGAATAAAATCCCAACTTTTGTAAAATTACACCAAAAGCCCTAAACTTCACAAAATTACCAAACCAAACCCAACATCTCAAAATACCAAAATTAAAGACAAAACCTAGAGAGGGTAGGATATCCCTACCTTGAAGTTTAAGCCAAAAAGGAGATGAAGACTCAAGATCAACTTGCTCCAAATCCAAACTTTTTCAGATTAAATCGAAGCTCTCAACGCCTCTATCTTTTTAACAAAGGCCTAGACTAGATTAACACCCTAGGGAGATCAAACCTTAGAAGAGAGTGCAAGATTCTAGAGGAGAGGGGCTCGGATTAAGGGTTTTTGGATCAAAAAGAGAGTGAAAAAGTGATGTTTTAGACGCTGCTGTCGCTGATATAAAACACGCTCGCTCGAGCGAGGATTGTCGCTCGAGCGACCAGACACAGAAGCTCTCGCTCGAGCCAAAGAAGTTCTCGACGATCGCGAAGAAAAACCCAGACCGCTCGAGCCACGAAAGCTCGCTCGAGCCAAGAAAGACAGCTCTCAGGTCAGAACCAGACGCAACACCACTCTCGCTCGAGCGACAAACTCCTCGCTCGAGCGAAGGACCAAAAATCTGGGCAGCACACTAGGCCCCAAACACAACTAACCTGTAACAAACCTGCCCAACACATCCCATAACTCCAATATACAAAGTACAAAGGATGCAAACACGATAATAAACACACAACAAAATTCACGGACACAGTCCGGATCACCTGTACAACAAGGGTAAACCCGGGATCGCTATAGTCTCCCTCTTTGGATTCCTCCTAATGAGTACCAAACACACCTCCCTATTCTCTCTCTCATAGTCGTCCTCCTCTCTCTCTCCTCTCTGGTTTTCAAATTTTATCTCTTCTCTCTGGTTTTCTCTCTCTCTCTCTCTCTCTTCTACCACTCTCCGTTCTTGGTTTTACCTATGGCAACTTGGTTGAGATTTGAGATGCACTATTGCGGCAACCAGCGAGAAAGACGATCGGTATCACTCATGGATTCGAGTGCACTGTTTGATCAATGCAAGGTAGATCTGTGTTTCTCGTGTATCTAGGGTTCTCGGTTCAATTTTATGTGTGTCTCTTTGTATGCATTCACTATGTCCTTGAAAATGATAAATGATTAGGTCTCTGAAATAATTTTTGTATGATTGGGTCTCTTTGTATGCCTCAAAATTTATGTGATTTGTTTCTCATTTGGGTTTGATTGTGGTTTCTCATTTATATTGCCTTAATAAAAATCTGTCTCTTTACCCCTCTATATTTTGTGTGTGTCGTTCATGCATTACACCATGTTTGGTAATAAGATGCTCAATTAAAATTAGTGAGTGAATTTATAAAATGTCCGCTGAATAGATAAAATGTAGTATGTTTTCCTTCCTAATGTCCGTTGATCTGAGCCATGGTTGATTTGATAAACCCTTCTCCCTTTCACTCAATTAAATAAGTATGACGGAATTATACATTACACGCTATATTCACATTAAACGCTAAATGTCTCGAAGATTTAAATGCCTCTCTTTTATGCTGGCTACTACATTTTTGTTGTTAAAATAGTGAGTGATTTATTATACAGGCCAAAGGAAGGTTTAGCAAAAATAGAGGTATTATTCAAATTGTGATAACAACAGCATGGGAGTTGGATGTTATTTTTATATCTTTAATGGAGTTTGCTTACTTATATTCTTCTATCTTTGGAATACGACATAGGCCTGAGATTGATGCATTTTATAGGGATTAATTCTTTTCCTGTCCATCATTGGGATTAATCTAGACAGTATGGCATAGTACAGGAAAATCAAGTGTTTCATTTTTAATCTCAGTGGTGCACAACGTTTTTATTTTGTGTGATGTTGTGAGGTATGTGTTGAAAGTTTAAACCAAAAGAAGAAATGTGCATAATGAGGATTGAAAAAAAGAAAAAAAAGGAAGATAAAACATAGATAAACTATTCTCTTTTTTTTTTTTGGTGAAACACAGCGACTAATCTTGTAACAAAATCCCTTAAGACATAATATGTTGGTAAATTTTTGAGTTACTTTGGAAATAACTTGTGCTAAGTTTTGGAATCCCTTGTCAAAATATAAACATTGATGTCTAATTGTCTTTTAATTGGTTTTTCAGGATTTATAAACATTACTTTTATTTAAGAGACAACTACAAAGGTTGTAGGTTCTTTTTTCCTCTCTATTTCATGTTTCTCTTTTTTAACTCTTGAATATGAGGACAACAAAATCCGTGGTGTAGAGTTTTTGTGTCCCATTGTTCTTCCTACCTGGTTTTGTTAGTAAAGGAAAACAGCTGTTTTCTTTTGTCAAGATACATAATAAAGGTCGTAAAACTAGACAAGGAATATGTGAAGAAAGTGAGTTGGACTGTGTGTGATGGCAAGTGGTGTTAGACAGTCGAAAGTTTATTACATACTATGTGACTTGATTTGAAATACTGAACATTAGACATTTTGCATTATCCATCTAATCTAACTTTATTATTATTTTTAAATTTAATTTTTTATTTTTAATTTCAGTATCGATATTAGAAGTGGCTATGAACGACTTTCCAATCCTTTAACTTTGGCAAATATTTTTTATTTTTTAAAATTGTCTTAGTTAATGTAATTGATGACTTTTAAATACAGATAAAAGAGACATAATCTTTGGGATTAATCTTCTCCGTCCAATTTTATTTACGGATATACACTAATCGTCCCAAGATTATCATCTTGGGAAATCATGGGACAAAAGTTTAGAGATATTGGGATTAATTTGGGATTAATCCATAACATCAATTTTATAGCAACTATCATCCAACATTAATCCTCAAAATGTTGTCATCGGGGTTTGAAGTAATATTTTCATGTCCTAGAGAAGAGATATTATATAAAATTCTTTCTTCTCCTCTAAATTTCTTACGACCAAATGAATTCTTCTAGAATAGTGGATGTATGAACTAAAAATCCTCTCCTTATA